ATTTATAACCGAGCGTATGCTGCACATGAAAATATTGTGTATTTTAATCGTGACTTGGCTCATGCCGAAATTGTCTTTAAGTAATTTAAGTATACAAAATTTATTTGTATATTCGAATGTAGAATACCAAATCTCACGCTCGTGGATGTTTTGTTTATTGACAGGTTTTTTTGGCGTTTTTATTTTTGTCGTTTTTTTTTTTTTTGGCCAAAAACCTCTCATCTGAACAAATCGGTTGGAGAGGGGATGTACATATGTATGAATGTATGTATGTTACAGTAGTTCAAAGTCTATCATTTCCAGCACCAGTGTAATTTAAACCAAAAACTGAAAGCTAGAAAATAGTACTCATACCCCGGGCATGGTTAAATCAACTCAACTCATCATTCTAACACGATCGGCATAAATTTTGATGGGTCTATCTCATCGCCTTCTGGTACTTACTTGCTTCGGACCAAGTTAATATAATCCAGCTAAAGAAACCCAATTAGAACAAGGTCATGTCACAAGGAATGTAAGGAAAGCTAAAATCTTAAAAATAATTATTTTTGCCAAAGAATGAAATAATTCATATATGAATCCATTCTTATTTAGATTGTGGCATATTTATATTATATCTCAGCGTATGTGGTATGCACAATTTTTGTGTAGAAGGCAATTAAGATATGAAATGTCGTCTAGATTGTATCTGGTATGGATTATGTCTTTCAGAACTTTGATCTGTAAAACTTTTAAGGCTGTATAAGCGATCGTTAAGCAACAATATTTTTTAGTAATAACGGAACACAATTTAATGTTTTGAGCTTCTAATATTTATGGAACTCACTTGTCTAAGCGGGTAGAAGAGAATGCAAAATTTATATTGGTCTGTGTCAAAAATTGGGCATAACCCACTGGTCTTACGCCGATGCCCGTGAGGCAAACAACTTGCATAGCAGGAAGCAATTAGTCAGAACCTACAGCAGACGTGTGGCAATCAATTGAACATTTAGATCAGTATAGTATAAACTTTTTCCTTTTTCTGTTTGGTTCTAATTCACTTAATACGAGTACCAGGGAGAACACAAATCGAGCTATGTACAGGTGTGTAAGTATGAAACCGTTGCTATCTCTGCATTTTTCCCATCTTTCTGGCAATTCGTGTATTCCGCGCCAAACGTACTGTTGCTCTTTTGACGCAAACTAGTCATCGAGCCATTTTCGTATATCTTCGTAAGAAGTAAAGTGCTGCTCATCAAGTGTGTGTCCCATCGTTGCAAGCTAATAAAAATCGGATGGAGCAAGGTCCGGTGAGTAAGCCGCGTGCTTAAGAATCTCTCAACGGAACGACTATATCGTTTCCTGTACCGGTTTTGCTTTGTGTGCTCGTTCATTGTCATACAGCAAAGTCACCTTTTGTTGTCTTTGTTGGTATACTGGTAGTTTTTAATTCAAAAATCGATCAAAATCGGTCATTTTTTGCCGGCAGCGTTGAGTATTGACAATTTACCCAGATTTCAGCAGCTCGTAGTAGATTACGCTTTGCTGATTCCACCAAACACACAGCATTACCTTTCGTCCGTAGCGCCATTATTGAACCATTTGAACCACTCGGTACAGTGTGTTTTACCGAGAGCATGCTCACTAAACGCCTCCACTAGCATTCGATGCGATTCGACAGCGGTTTTCTTCAGATGAAAACAGAAAAGTTGTGCTGCCCGCAAATCGTAATTTGTTGGCACAAAACTTGACACGTGTATCAAATAATAAATAAAACTCGTGCTATTGTGAGTTGGAAATCTTTGTCGGATATCAATACAATAACAAGACACCGCTAATGTGATGTGTCTGTAACTGCATCGACATCTAGCGCAACCCATAGGCAAATTCCGGTTTCATACTTATGCTCCCACTACTCATCTTCCATATCTTCCGTCCATATCGACCTATTTTTTGGGAGCGTCATGTAGATGAAAAGTTGTCACCCCTTGTCGACCCCCTTACTGACGGTTGTCCCGCAGATAATACTCGTGGTTGTATATTCCATTACAGCCGGGTGTTATGGCTGTGCGGTATGTAAGATGGGTATGTAAGATGGGTAGCTGCAGCATTACATGGCTGGTATATGTAAATTAAAAAGATTTCAATCATTAATTTCATAATGAATCTGAGTTTTTTTAATAGCTGCATGAAGATCTTCCATTCATTTTTTATATTTAATTTTCTTTTCCACTTTTCATTGTTTTTTAGTCCCTTTTGTTCTGATTTCATTCTTACTTATTTTTAGTAAGTAACAATAAAATATTTTTTTATTTATTCCAGCACATTTATGGCATGAATTAGTGTGGTAATTAAAGAAAAATATTTTGCAAGTAAAATACGATTTACGCAATTGTTTTGTGCTGCATCAGCGAAATTCACCAAAAATCTTCAAGAGAAGTGATTTTATGCAAAAATAAGAAAAAACTATTTCCGCAGGAAATCACAAGTAGGTTATGGGCTTGCTTCATTTGTTTGTCATACATATTTTTCACACTAAAATAATCGTTGGGAAATTGTGAAGTTATTCATGCAAAAAGAAGAGAGAATTCGAAATATTTCCAATATTGCGATAAATGTCTGAAAAAGACACTGTGTTGGAGATTTCGAACTCTTTATACCATTCATGAACTGAAATTAACATAATTTTGAGTTTAAAAAATATACTTCTTTTAGATAATATTGAAGACGTTCCAAGGCCAGGTAGGCCTAACAAAAAGGTGAAAAAATTGGTCGCAATCATCTTGGCATAAGTAAGGTCAGCGCAAGATGGCTGCCGAAAATGCTCACACCCCCCTAGAACAACAACGCAGTAAAGAAGAAAGGAAGAGTGTTTAAGTCGAATTGTTACTGGTGACAAAACTTATGAGGCTGAGTCGATACTGGCATAAAAAGGCCACAGCCATCCCAAGAACTTTAAAGTGCCACAGTCAGCTGAGAAACTCATGGCAACGGTCTTTTGGGACTCGGAAGATAAAAATAATATTTGATCAATTATAAAAAGAAAGATGTTTCTATAACTGGAGAATACTACGCTTCAATATTATAGCGACTATGAATAGCCAATAAAGATAAATTACGAGGAAAATGTATGAAAGGTGTGTTGCTTTTTCGCGAAATCGAGACCGTCCACGGAGCTGCGTTGCACTGGCTGACCTGCAAAAGGTAGGATTCGACCAAACTATGCCCCGTGGAACTATTAACTGTGTCCAAAAATTTAAAAAAAAATACTGATGAGTAAAAAATTTATCATCGATGATGAAAACCAGAATGCAGTTTTAACGTATTTTAAATATAAAGAGAAAACTTTTTTATGAGGCTATAAATAAATTTATTGAAAGATCGGAAAAATGTATACTCGTATATCCCCTGCCGAGTAGCGACTGTAAGTAAAAGAAAACAAATTTTCTATAATTTTGAACGTCTGCCGGATCAGCATTCGAACCCTGGCTATCCGAATGTCAGTATGCAATGTTGAAGCTTAAAATGTTGGCCGACGATATTTCCTTATATTTGAAAAATTCATGAGAAGAAGGGAAGACGGCATACAAAAGGTTGCTAGCCAAGGACATAGTCGGATAGGATAAAAAAGTTCTTACTGCTTTCAAGAGTATACTTAGATTTTGAATTGTAGTGAAGTGCAACAATCGGAGATGACGACGCCGGAACTCCAGTCGACCACGGTGGAATAGACGATCCATTACCCGACTATAGCGTACATGTCCGGACAGCAACTGCCCGCCTGAAGAACAATGAAGCGGCCTACCGGCTGAGCTATTCAAATACATCCATATGTTGGCGAGTACAACCAGAAATTTCAAGCAGAATGTATTCGATGTTCGCACGAGAGCCTTTTTAAGACTTTTAAATCGAGTACAACATACCGAATAGCATATTTAAGCCTGAGGTAGAATCTTACGAAGAGGTAGTTTAAGTTCTAACACTAACGTTTCTGGGACTTCAGAATACCTAAAATCCGCCTAAATACGGCCTGAGTTTCATTTTCATAATATATTATATAAAAGAGATCAATCGACTCCGAAAATACTTAGTTGATTTTGTTCAAATTTTCAGGATGCCTTCATTGAAACCCCGAAAGTGCTCCTGTGGAGTTCAACTAAGATATTCATAGTTTAATAAAGACCACATTTGCCTCCAGGAAGTGGACGAGAGACTGACCTATTTATGAAATTCGGTACATCTGGAACTGATTTGATTCTTGTAAATGGATCAGAGACCGTGAAAAACGTTCGTTTCGCTCGAAATATAATTAATATTTTTTTTTTGGATAGGATTACCGACAAATTGCCAAATCTTGGTATGACATAGATATAATTATAGATCGTTCGTAGGTATGTTCGCTTCGAATTTTTATTATTCTGCAGCTTCGGTTTACAAGCTAATCCTACTCATTCGATTTGGCATTCATATTGATATTTCGGTGAATGACTTAGAGCAGCGAAGAAGTGAGACACACACACACAAGTAAGTCAAACCAATAACATAATAAAATAACTTAATTTTTTAATCTAGATGTCGCTTAACGAAGGTTCTCTATCGTTTCTTGGCTAAAATACCCAAAGCAACAGCAACCTGTGACCGGGTCTGCTGGTCCATTATAAAACTCAATTTTTAAGCAGTCAAATTGGGTTTCCATTTATCAAAAGTTGAAGGGGCAGCCCACGTAAGAGCTATATGAATCAATTTAATTAACAAGAAAGTGTAGCTTCGATTAAGGAATTTAAACATTATCTAACTAATTAATTGATTTCGCTGCTAACATTAACTAAGTGTATACGTGTATGTAAGTATAAAAGAGAAGCAACTGACAATCAAAAAAAATGTTTTAAAACAAACCTCACAAGCGACAATTGCTGCACTCGGTTGTTGGAAAAGTACGAATTATAAGTGAACACAGAAAAATGTTTTCTCCACGAGAATTCTTTTCCAAAGAATTAGAATTATTTTTCTACATATTCATCATGCTATATTCACTTTCTTTGGTGCATACGAAACGTATAAGTCATTGTGGCACACAGGCAGGGGAGTACATAACCAATCCGGAAGCAACTTGTCGCACACTATATCCGACCATTTACTGTAACGGTGATGGATCGGCTTACTGTACTGAGATGGAGTGCTTAGAAGAGTATGAATGTGCAAGCGCTGAGAGTCCAGCGACGGTAGCTACAACGACAACAACACCAGCACCGCCAACGAGAGCCACAACTCCCACCCCATCCACAACTGCTGAGTCAACAACAACTTCATTATCTCCTACAACTGCATCATCAACAACGACCGCTCAAGTCACAAGTATTCCAACTTCAGCAGTGATGCGTGCACAGTGTAAACTCGGTGTAATTTTACGTGAACCTTATCGTGGTAATTGCCGTTACTATTATGCTTGCAACAATGGCTATTTCCAAATTCAAGATTGCGGGTTTTTCCGAGTCTTCGATGTCATCGATAAAATATGTAAAATGCAAGGAGAAGCAAAGTGTTGGAGAGATATGTAAACAGTTAATAAAACAGTGATGGAAAAAAATTTTTAAACATTTACTTTTTTTTAGTATTCTTAGAAGAAAAACCGAAAGATTATGAAAAAAAAATAATAATTTTGTAATTGGAATCTTTGCGTACTCAATGTCTATTATTATATATAAAGCATTACGAATCGAAGAAGTATTAGAGGGAGAAGTATTCATTCATGAGCCTGGAAAGGGCGTAGGGATTTAAATTTTATTATATAATCAGCGGCCGTAATTGCCGAGTGACTGGTCAATGGTTGAATTGCCAGGTCTACAGCCACTCTGATAAGGTCCATCACTATTGATTCGGGCTCGCCGCATTCAAAGAATTTTCGAGCGATACTCTTTTTGAGCAGCTTCTCAGGCTGACAGGCATACTCATGCATTTTGGCCACTTTCTTTTTCAGTCTGCCGAAAACCAATTGTTTCCGTAGCGGCGGTACATACATATATAGCGTGTTTGGCATGCCGTTTCACCATTCCATTCTATCGAGTTGCTAATGAGCGCTCTCCGAGAGAAGGACTGCAAAGGTTGGGCTGCTGATGTATCCCTTCCATGGGATGTTGTGGACGGGCGTTCTTTTCTACACAGAAGCAGGTATCTTCATATTTTCGACAGCCAAGTAGTGTTGGATGGATTTTCTTGTGCGGAAATCTGTTAAAGTAGACAACCATATGTTTCGTCGTGGAGGCTGGACTTTCCGCTAGTAGTGCCGAAGATATCTTCTGTATCCGCTCTGGCATCAAAGTCGCTAAGTCGGATAATTTTTCTTCGTAACGAGGCCAGCGCTTTAAATTATGCTAAAGGCGCTCTTAAAAGGCATCCTTAGACAAATCGTCCTTCTCTTCGTGCATAGCAAAACATTGCTGCGAACGTTCATCCTTTGTAGGGACTGCCAGTATTCGCCGAAGGTGTCTCTCTCACAGCACAAATTCAACAAAAAAAATTGTTCCCTTTGTATGCTCGCTGTAGTAAATTTCACAGGGACCCACTCCTTTTCTATTCATTTCCCATCCTTGATACCTCTTGGACGGCCTTGATATCAGTCTATAACCTTACTAGGGCATCAGGTGCACCCTCCAAATTAAGGCACTGGATACTTCACCTTAAAAATCGTAATTCTTAAAACATTCGAGGCTCAGAAGGAGGTTCTCTCATCCGAGGCTTTCTGTTACTTTTCATTTTTCTGGCTGCCCAGACGGCATTAGGTCTAAGACCGAAAGTTGTGAGCTGCTAGAAAGGATCGCTTCTGACCACTTCCAAGTGAATGGCAGTCAAAAACTTGGAAAAACTTCCACATCCTAGCAAACCTTAACTTTTATTTTTCGCTACTTTTAGTAAAATTTAAATAGCAAAAAATATATATCAAATATAAAACATAGCGGGGAGGTCAAAATATTATCAGCCTTAAGATATTGATGACTTTGTTGGAAAAATTCAAAAATTGAAAATCATAACTTTCCAAGTACAACTACATTATACATACATATGTACTATGTAAGTGCGTTTTTATCACAAAATATTTTATTGTTAATTGTACACTGAATGTTTTTGAAAGCATCTAATTATCGTTAAGCTTCAGTCGCTGGTTAATTCATAAAGACTTACGAGACAAAATTTGCTACGACTGCTTTTGAGTCATTGGATCATTCAGTAATTTTCTATAAATGATGGGTTAAGTATTTACATTCTATAAAAATTCAGCAAAAAAGTCATTGAAGAATTAACATAAAAAATTGAAGGCAAAATGTAGCCTCAGGTCATCAGGCCAGATCAAGGAAAAGTGCAAAGTATTGATACGAAAAGAATTAGCATTCCAACTATTTATAAATACTTTATAATTGTATACTATATATATACTGTTATGACGTATGCAAAATATCATATATCTTATATGAATGTTTGTACATATATATATATGCATGAATGTAGCAGAAGGCTTGAGACATTGACTGAAGTTCATTGCGCGTCACTGACTCATATTACTCATCGAAAATAACAGAGTTTGCTTGTTTGCTCTTTCTCATGCAAACATACATATTTTAGTAAATTTACTTGCATTTATCATTTAAATTTTTTCAACTTGGCATCGCATACACAGTTTGCTTGGTATGAATATCTAAGTTTGTGGTGTGCTGAAGTTAAACTGATTTAAACGATAGTTTTTAGGGTAAAGCTATGAAACAAGCAATTTAGATTTTGCTTATGCCATGCTCATCTGCGCCGTACTATCGGTTCACGCACACACAAATTCGTGCTTTGACATAGACGAAGCAAACAGGGCGTTAAGTAGCACTTCCAGTCATACCCTTAAACAGTCTTCAGATTAAAAAGTCATTTAACCATAGTTTCTTCAGATGACATAGCAAATGAATCTGCAAAGTGTCTAAACAGCTATACAGGCCAAAGCTGTCTAGTCACTTTGCAGACTAAAATATCAAGGAATCTAATCCACACAGTTCACAATTCATTACACAACAGGCGTCTTAATTCAACTTCTCGGCAAGAGAATTAGACACCTTCCACAGATTTTTTTTTGTTGGAGCGAGGAGGAGTAAGAGTTTGTTGAGCACTACCTCTGGCACTGCATAATATGATAGGGCATCACTTCTTTGACTGCCTGGCTGGTATAGCAACGGCTGATATAAGCAGTAACGCATCGTTCATAAGGTACACGTATTGGTTTGTAAGGGTGATTTTTTTTTAGGAGCTATAAGAAAGCTTTTCATGAAATCTTTATTTCAATCGATAGTGCGGTGCATATAATTGAATGTTTGAAGTTTATTTTATGCAAATGTTGACCGTGACTGGGCCTCAAATGGTCCATCCGCTTAGTCCAATTTTGGCATACTCTTTCCAACATTTCGGTCGGTATCTCCCGAATAAATGCTTCAATGTTGTCCTCCAAAGCGTCAAATGAAGCGGGATTGGCTGTATAGACATTAGATTTAATATAGCCCCACAACAAATAGTCTAAAGACGTTCAATCGCACGATCTAGGTGGCCAATTGACCGGTCCCGAACGTGAAATGTGTGCCGATGTTCGCCGAATTCGCCTCTCAATAAGTACATTCTTGCTGTGTGGCATGTGGCAACGTCTTGTTGAAAGCATATATCTTGCAGGTCAATGATGCCACCAGCCCATAAACCGCAACAAACTGTGACTTTTTCTGGAAGCATTGGTAGCTCTTGCATGGCTCTTGGCTGATCTGCACTCCAAAATCGATAATTCTGCTTATTTACGCACCCATTAAGCCAAAAGTCGGCTTCGTCGCTGAACACGATTTTTTGATAAAAAGGGGCGCGATGAACTTTCTTAACAGAGCACGGATTTTGGTAATAATTTCAATAATTGGCAAGCATTGTTCGTTTGTAAAACGATTTGCAGTTAAATTATAGGCCAAACTGAAGATGTTTGACAGCGCAACAAAACACGAAACGTGCATCAGCTGTTTAAGCCAGTGGCGCCAAAAAGCAAATAGCTAAAAAATCACCCTTTGGCATCAATACAGCGGAGGTACCCAATCACCAAGAGTTTATATTTCTTTCGCTACGGGTATTTGCCGGTGCTTAAACTAGGTCACTGAGTTAAGGTTATCTGTCCGTTCCAATTAATTTTACTGGTACTTGTATTACATTAGTTGCTAACCTAATTGTTATTTGGTGATACATACATAGATAACATAATACATACATACTCGTACATATATCATAACCATCTGCTGAGATATTATATATTGACTTACACTTTTGATATTTTCGAAATTTTCAAATTTCCAAATTTTTTATCAAACTCTCAGCCATTTAATAAATGCATGTGTTACAACAATTGAGAGATAAAACTGCAATAGACTGCTCTCATATCTTCTGAGCAGATAATTAGAGACATGTCTTCAGAAGTCAAGGTAATTACAGAGTTGCATAAGCCATTTTTTCAGATTACAACACGCATGCCAAGCGTCCTTGAAGACTCGTCTAGTTGATGTTGAGTACTATATAAAGGCAAAGCACAAGCACAGTTGTTGAGTTGAGAGCAAAAACAAAAGATAGTTTTGCCTTAAGAGTGAGCAAAAAAAAAAAAATTATAAAAATAAAAGAATGTTGCTGTTATCACCACAGAAGTCCTGCTCATACAAAACCAGCGCATTTATTATCATTTGCGCACTACAACTATTTACATACACACGCGCTAAGATCATAAGCGACTGCTCAACGATCACATCGGCAACGGCGGAATATGTACCGAATCCAAACACGACATGTAATTCGCGTTATCCTTTCATCTATTGCAATGCCGAGTTGTCAGCGTATTGCACGCAAGACGAATGCATCGACGAGTTTGAGTGTGAGCGGGAGGAAGAGTTAAGTGCAGCCAGCGACAGCGAGGATCAAGTCACGTCAACGTCTACAATGAAAATGACCACGATTTCAACGCACCCAGGGACAAGACGTACAACAGCAAAAGTAAAAACAACAACGTTAGAACCCACTAAACCGACAGCGGTTGCAATAACTGCAACAACAAAAACAATAGCAACAATTCCAATAATCTCCACTCAAGCCACAAAAACCATTACTACAACTACAACTACCGGCAATCCAACAATCGAGCCCAATATAAATCCAACAACAATTGAAGCACTAAATATTCGCCAACTTTGTCGTATTGGCATTACCGAAAACTATCCGTATATGAGAAATTGCCGTTATTACTATCGTTGCACGAATGGTTATTTACTCTTTCAAGAGTGTCCTTACCTAATGTCCTTCGATGTATATAACGGTTATTGTAAGCACGCCAGAGAGGCGCGTTGTGTGAATAAAGCAAGGAATATCATCGTTAGGCTACAAAATAAACGCAAAAATAATAATAATAATAATAATAATCAAAATAATAATAACTTGAATAATATTAATGGGCAATGGGACTTAATTAATTTTTAAATGTAAAAAAAAAAATTAAATAAATTATTTTATTTTCAATTCATAACAAATATTATGTTTCTTATTGTTATTTGAATATACTCTTCGCTCTAATCTCTTACTTTTTTATGCTTAAATGCGGCAGTTTGTTTCACATCTTCTTCTTCTTTACGACGGCGCTTACGCGAGTTTAGGCGAGTCTGGTGCCAATTAGTAATATCAAATACAACCAGGACCTCCTCCAATTCGTTTTTCCAACGGAATGGAGCGTCTCCACTTCCTCTGCTTTCACCGCCGGGTATTGCATCAAAAACTTTGACCGTTCCATTGGCTGCGGTATTTGCCTTGGAGCCGACTCATCAGTTGTTGACATCGTCCACGCTTCGTCGAGAGAGGACTTAACAGCATCACTTAGGTATTATAGTCACTCATAGATGATACATCGGCTTTTTCATGATTACTTGAGAATTTTCAAAGACCACACTTTTACATGTTGATAGCAAATTGGTTCAAATGAGCTCCTTTGGAAGAGACATTTTTTGATAGAAAAGCTCACCTTCAGTCAAGCGATCTTTAGCACATTGAGGGAGTCGAAATCGCATTGGATTGTCATGAGGTTTCAATACTTGGGCCAATTGAACTTGATAAGCTTTCAAACCGAGGTCTTTAATAAAAATCCTGGAATCAACTTCAGTTCCCGCCAAGAATTCTCTTTTACATCATCCTATATAGATTATAAGCGGGTGCCTTTAAGTAGTAATTGTAATTTTGAAGAGAGAGAAAAGTCAACCGAAGCTATATTTGGTTAGAAATGAGCCTTGTGAGATAGTACGCTATGATGATGATGAAGAATCCGGCTTTCTCGAGCGACACATAACACTGAGATATTGTTCTTTATTTACCTCGTTTAATCTTCTGGGAACATAACACGGCGGTAAGAAAATTTAAGTTTTGATGGGCTTTGACGTGATTCAGTTGGAAGATCCATACCGAAGTTTGTTGACTGGTTTGCATGACAAACTTATAAAACCATGTCATGAATTACATCCTGTTAGTATGTTGTCAGCGACATTTTCACGATTAAGTATTTGAAGTGAACTCAGGTTTTAGAACTGCTCTAACGAGAAAGCATTTCATATCCAAACTTTCATTCAATCGACTCAATCGACCTCATTCAATACACCGCAACGGACAGCTGAAGAGGAAAGGCAGAGGCATCTGCAAAGAGAAGGAGCATGAGTCTGAAATACGCCAGTATAAAGAACTTGAGGAGATGGCCAATCAACATATAGCGGAACCCCAAATATCATGGGATAAGTCTCCTCAAAATTAGACATAAGGCCTTATCTAGCTTCAAGGAATGGCTCATAAGTCGGCTCTAAAAGTCTACTGGAGAAATATTCTGGGGAAGATTAATGGGCCTCCTTGGGCCTATTTGTATAACGCCATAGGCGATGTGAAGCAGGATCCCAATTAAAAAAAGAAGAATATAAAATCCTTTGTAATTCCATTAAGACCAAAATGAAAGGTTGAATTGATCTCGACGCAAAGTTCTTCAGGCACAGACTGTGGTATGAAATCAAATCTCAAAATTTAGGTGTTTTTTTGTGAGAATTTCGAATGAATAGCTCAGTTGCCAAGGTCATTCAAATGAAGCACTGAATAGACAAATCTGACTTAAGTGTACTGAACTTAATGGCACTGAGTGGAGATCGCAAAAGGAATATATGTATGCAGTTGAAATCGTATTGAATCGGCTCATCTCATTTCATCTCATAGCGAGTTCGTGACGAGTATTTGTTTTTATTGTTACGATCATCACTGCCACCACCCCTCATTAACACCGAGCCACGATTTGTGCAGGAGTTTGTTGAACCGTCAGTCATGAACTCAAAACAACTTAATAGTCGATAATTGACTGCGTTAGAGTAATGCTTGGGAGCATGCTATAGCGTAATCATTACTATCTGTGATCTGTAGACTGTCTTCACATTTTCCGCAGTGATTGATTGACGCACCAACTCATAGTCCAAGCTACTGATCGTAGGATCCTGAGACTTAGAAAGTGTGTTCTGCGTATAATGATGATTTTTCCCGGAAAGAAGATCTGATACAAATTTAATCGAAAAAATCTCGTTTTTTTTTTCAAATGTCTTAGGCGCTCATGGACTGTGAAAAGTTTTGGTAAGCACTCTTCGGTGTATCATTTTGCAGTTGCCGTCTGACCCTTTACCTGTGGATTAGCAGCTACGATTTTATATCGGGTGACGTAAACTGATATTACTTCTGCTGCTGATTTTTGTGTGCGTTTGCTCCTGTTGGACTCCATACCAGCAACTACTCATTGGTTTTTGGATCATAATTATAGCACCAAAATTCATCACCCGTAACGACTCTACTATAGTAATTAGATGACCACTTCGGGATTTGTTTACGAAAAATTGAGCAAAATGCACTGGAGCCTCTTTTTGGATCTCATTTCAAATTCTTGGTACTCATCTGGCAGATTTCTTCGTGTATCCCAGATGATTACCTAATATTCGCAATCATTTCTTATGTCAATCGTGGGTCTTCGTCAATTCTGGACTTCAACAGATCCACAGTGACGTCATTAGTGGAGGGTTTTGGTCGAACTTTTCGGGGCTCGTACTTTATGGAAAAATGTCCGGTCTGAAAACTTCCGAAGCACTTAAAAATGGTCTTTAAAAAAAATTTTGAAAGTAAGATTCATAAAGCAATTGCAAAGGCTTTGGTATTTTTAGATTTAACATAAACAAAATCAAAGTCACCAACTGATCGAACTTTTGTTAATCCCCTCGTATTAATTCTTGAATTTTGTCTTTCCTTTCAAAAAATTTTCTTTTTAATTGACAAATTTTACGACGACTTAACGGTAATTTAATGTTGAAGGACAGTGAAGTCCATGTATATTTTCATAAGGAAATACTTGATCGGAGTATCTTTAACCCAGATTTTTTTTTAGTGAAATACATTAGAGTGAACAACACTTTTTAGGCACTGCGGGTTTGTCGAAATTACGGTAAACACGTAGCTATTAATGACACCTACTTATAATTTCGCCATGGTAAAATGCTATCATTATATAATCGAAGAGAAATGCCTTTATTTGTATGTACGGTAATTTACCGAAAAACATTCAAAAGTTTATTCAATACAAAAACAAATACAAATTGCTTCTTATCTACGAAGCACCACCAATTGCTGTGATGTGTAATAAGAACTTTTAAAACAGTCCGTAAGTACTTAATATCTAATCAGTCGACATTAATTGTACACATGAAATTGCTTCACATTCGATAACGGTATTTACAACTAATATCGTCTGAAGTGGTTCATCTATTTACAGCGTATTTATTTCAGTGAATTTTGATCCATTTGTTTCGATTTAATTGTAGGCCACTGTGTTTTCATATATGTAAGTATGTTTTGTATGTTTTGGAAGTGGCCGGAAACGATTATTTTTACATATGGTTCAAGCAGCTCACGACTCCCGGTCTTATAACAAGTGTCTGCTGGTTAGTCAACAAACATCCGTTTGCAGGCAATCTGAAGTGAGAGAACCCACCATATGGAAAATACCCCAAGGAAAAACCAATTAAAGTCTCGGGTCTCTCCCTTTTGATGGTAACCCCTGCGAATGAACGTGCTTAAATATCCGGCCAATTAGTGCGATAGACGGCTCGAGGGCGAAAGAAGGTGGGTCTCTGTGAAATTTACTACAGCGAACATATAAAGGAGCGCAAATTTGGTGTTAGGCTTTGTGGTGTAAAAGAGAATCCATCGCCGAGTACTGATATTGGAGCTAATGGGAAATCTTCTGATCGATTTCCAGAACATCCTATGAGTTTGAAGAGCGGGGATGTAACATCCGGAGATAGTGAACTCGAAATTCCAATCGTTGATGATGAAAAAGACGTTCCCCTTACGCCGCTTAAAGAAAAATAAAGCTGCTGGTGGTGAGTGAAGAGCTAACAAGATCAATGCTTCTTAGTTGAACGAAAGAATATCCAGCGATTGGACGACGTGAAGTGTGCTCTGTGCAATCCAGTAAAAGGAGGATCCTATGGCCTGCACCAATTACCGTAGGAATAATATCCTTAATATCGCCTATAAGGTACTGTCGAGCGTACTGTGTAAAATACTAAAGGCCTCTGTCCGCGAATTAATGTGATCTTGTCAATCCACCATTGGACTTATCCGAGCCGTTTGTCACCAAACAAAGTTTTAGACAGCGTGTCTCTTCATCGTACGATTTTCTCAATTTGATGCTGGACAAATATATGGAAATCTTATTGTACTAATGCTTTGTTATTATTATTAAATAAATAAAATAATAAGAGCTGCTGAGCTAAGTTAGCCAAGTTCCGCTATTTTTAGTCATAATAAGGAAGCTAAGCGTATGTGTCTGATAGGAAACGAGCACAAGATGAAATATCTCCTCTGATCGCCCTAACGCCTTGAAATCCTACCCAGAATCACTCTTGCCAACAAGTGCTACTTTGGACTGAGTAGGCAATTGAAAAGTAAAGCCCTCTCTGGGAGAACGAAAACCAAACTCTGGAAGTCAACAAGCATCCGTTGCGCAGTAGCGTGGACGATATCGAGGAGTCGGCCTTGGGAGCATTCGAGAGAAAAGTTTTGCGACCGATTTATGGTTCTTTTCTGTTGTTGTTGTTGTTGGAGCGGTATGGCTGTTTTCTCGTTGTCAAAGGCGAATACCGTAAATTATGGAACGATGAGCTGTAGAGCCTTGCTGGCTAGGTCGAGTCATCGGAATGAATGAAAATGCTTCAGCTTTGAAAGTATTCGATGTAATATCCGCCAGTAGAAGCCTATTGATGATACTAGTTATCCCCCAAAACGGGGCTGAGCTTACCGTGGTAGTGATCCAGCTTTATGCAGAGTATGATAAAGTAGACTAAAGCTTTCATTTGTAACAATTAGGCTCTCTCATACTAAGACTGTTAGTGTGTGACGAGGAATCGAACACTTCCAGATGTTAAACTCTCAGTCTAACAAAAGACTATGGATCTATACCTGTGCAACGTGTCCGCCTATCCTAGTCCATGATGCTACTTCCTGTTTCTCCCAGTACCGCGACGACGAAGCTGGAAGAGCCTACAAGACTTTCCATTCGGCCGGGACTGGTATTAAGCATCTGAAGGGAGGTATTCCACCTGTACGGACAATGCCTCGAATGAGGAAAATTCTGCTCATACTCCAAAGCCAGAGTGGCTCCAGAGTCACTTACATCGGAAACTACGAGGAAGTTGGACGCTGAAATCGAAACGGCACTGGGAAGCTATGGAAGATAATCAGCTGACCTGGATTTCGAACGCGGGGACAGAATGTGGATGCGACAGATAAAAAACGAAGCATTGGACTTGACCACATCCCTGGATGGTGCAGATTTTTCGGATTGATGTATGAGTGTAGGATTCTAATTCATGATAACTGGAAATTGGTTTAACAGTTATAAATCGCCTGTTTATTCTGGATTTGGTTCAGTTAAGAAAAATTTATTTAAATTAATACAATTTATAAATAAATTAGGGTCTTAATTTATGCCTAACCAATTGTAGCGTGGTCCAACAGCTGCTGTACGGAAGTGGGCAGCCAGTTTTTCATGCTGCTATCGCTTAACATGCAGACATTTCGATCAATGTAACAGTAAAGTTTTCCGACGCGGTAAACCTGTAAAAATATTACAGTAATAAATATTTTCAATATAGAATTGGTACAATAACAAAAATAAAAACTACAAAATCCAACTTCGGCTCACCTGCTTGCCCAACTCCCGACGTCCCGGCATTGGAGCGAAGAGTATACCTCGTTCGGCGCATTTCTGGGAGACCAACTCTTTGAATTCCAATTGAGCCGGCGCCGCCATTTGTATATCCACAACTGTGGGCGGCGGTGGTGGTGGTGGCGTTGCCGTCATCATAGGTGTTGGTATGGACGCCAAACCAGGTGCTGCCAGCACATCTGTAGCGCGATGCATCATTTCGAGCGCACGACGCAAATGCTCCTTCACGGTAGGTTCACGCAATATATCCTCAGTTAACATACTCTTCCAACCGGTATACCAACGAGAGATCTCTGCATAGTCTGGTGATTGATTGAGCCACAGCACCAAAACTTGCATCCATTTGGGAAAGAAATATTTATCCAACAGTTGTGCCATTTGCTGGGTGGGCACGAGCTCATGCCATTCCCATACTTGATTCCACAACTCAAGTTGTTGATGTAATGGATTTATAATGAATTCATTGAGCACCATTTGTAGTTTTGGTATGATGTGTTGCGAGAGGAAGCGTTGCATTTCAATATCATCAAATGCACCCTTCCACGGTGTAAGCATTGCGCGTGCAGATCGATCTTGCGGCATCCACGCCAGTAAAGCTGTAGCTAGTTTTTCACGTATAGTTGGGAAGATAAATTCCTCCATTTTATGTCCGAGTATATTGTTCCATGGCAATATCCATATGTGTATGGGCACTGTATCTGTTAGTGGGTCCCAATCCCGTACGCCGTTGCTGAGTTGTGGTAGAACTAATTGCTCGAGCACAGAGTCTAGTATCCATGTGGGAAAGAGTGGCGCCCAGCAGTCGAGCAAAGCCGCCATAGGTTGATGTAGTTTTGGATTCCAGGAAGCAGCGCATGCACGAAAGCTTGGTATAACGCCAGCCCATACAAGCGACGAGTAAGGATCGAATACGTTGCGTGACTCATTTTGTACATCCACATTTGATTCCAGTACGCCACGCCATTTCTTAATGAGGTCAACATGTTGTGTTGGCTGTTCAAGTGGCTTCCAATTTTCCAAAGATATCTTAACAAGTGGCGCAATAATACCAGCGGCTAAGTCACCTAAAGCAAACTCTTGATATTCAGCAGCATAGTCTTGCTGCAGTGTCACAAATATTTGCTCAGCACGTTGTAGTGTCATGTCGTTGCTTGTAGTCAGTTCATCTACCAGCTTCAGTGCTTGCTCCAAGGTGTCGATGTGATTCTTTTCAAGGTGTACAATTTCTTCCAGGTTCTTACGTTCATGTTCCAGTGCTGCTTGACGGTCAGTAGCTTCCCGCTCGGTCTTATCTAGCGAAATAATGTCTTGCTCACAGAGATTCACAATCAGTTGCAAATTATGCAACAATTCGGGCAGTGCAAATGTGGCACCTTTCTTAGTGGAAAGGCTGCTGGATGCAACAGCCTGCTCTAAGTCATAGAGATCTTCTTCGGCGACTTTGCTTTGACCTAAAGCGTGATAACCACTAAGCACACGCTTCTCTGGACCAGTCATGTCAATAACGGGCACATTTCCAATCTTTTTGCTGCAAATACATTATTTACCTTATTATTGAACATCAAATCAAATATAGATTATGCATACCTTATCTTTTCGGACAACATAAAATTTCCTTTTTTGCCCTTTTCAATCACTTCCTCCACCGAACGATAGTAATAGCGCTTGCCTTTGGCTTGATTCGTGTCACCACCCTTTTTCCATTTATTTAACTTTTCTTTGAACTCTCTCGCCTCTCGCACATCTTCATCTTCTTTTACTAGAGGCTGGAAAAAATAGCACAAGTCATTTTAAAAAGTTTATACTTGTAATAATTTGAATACTCACTCCTTTGCCACCCACACTGGCTGCCGCTTCGGGTCCATAAGCACCAATAGCACCGCGACCTTTACGCACATGTGCCTGCACGGGCTGTGATATACCTTGCAGATCTTTACCCAAACCTTTGCCAGGCTTATAGCCCATCTGCAGCAGTAATTTTGCACCAATACCACGTGTGTGCTGCTCCCAAGCGCCAACATTTGGATTGCCCATTTGTTGAGAATTCTTATTACGCTGCTGTCTACCAACGTCAGCACGCTGTTTTTGAGTTCGCTCCTCATCAGAACTGCTCGCTGAGTCACTGCTTCCGCCATCATCGGCAGTTACTTGTTTGCGTCCGAAGGAAGGACGTGCATCGGCTTCGTCACTTTCTTCATCGGTTATTTCTTGGTCGGCTTGGTCTTTTTCAGCTTTCTTATCTTTTTTGCCTGCCTGTTGTATGCCACCGGCAACAAAACTTACCGGTGCTGTGTAATCTTTTGACTTGTTACCACTGCTGCCGCCAAGTCCAGCACGACCTCGACGGCCTCGCCGGTTGCTCGACTCTTCACCGCTATCATTGTCACTGTCATCTGCCCAAATTCCTAAAATATCAATATTACAACATAGTTTTACACACTAAACTTAAGTAGCCTGCCATAAATTTGTTGATTTTTTGAAAGATTTCGTCGACGTCCAGGATTGAATTCATTGTCCAGATCGTAATCGGTTATTTCGAACCGCTCATATTCATTGTCAGACATATTGCCGTAATATTATTTTTCACAATTTTTCATCTGAAAAGCGTAGCTAATTATTTCAGTTAATTGTATTACAAAAATCTATTCCAAACAAAATATACTTGTCAGAGAAATTGTTTACAAAACAGCTGATAAATACCTGTTCAGTTATCCTCAAACTGTTTGCTGAACAGGGTTGCAAAAAACTACAAATTGTATAGTAGTCGGACCATTAAGTGTGTTCGCTAGATCGCTGAAATTGCTAAAAGTTGAAAGGAATTAACAAATACAGAAAAACAATGTGCTTACGATTAGCTGTGGCATGCTGACGACAAGATAACGAAAAAGAGAGATATGACTTCCCAAACTCATACATATTTAAAAAAAAAAAAATAACTAAATAGAAGCAATTCAAGCCTTATTGCAATAGATTTCTAATATTAAATATTGAATACTCAAAAGAATTGTTTTAGCTTATTGTATTGCTTATCGCCATAAATTTAGCCCTAAAGAAAAATTTAAATTGTTCTAGAAGGTGAGAAATGTATTTTTCAGCACAATGTTTTTATAGGAAACAAGCAAACATATTGAAAAGATTATTATGTATTTTAAATATATAGTTTTTATATACAGTATTCGCCTTATACCATCCATTTCAGATGTTGTCCCCTACTCTATGCATTACATCCATTTACATACCTCACACCGTGCAGCCTTCCCTCTATATATGTACAATTGCATATTAGCGAATGCCAATAAATAAGCAATTAAGTGCATTAAAAATAATAATATACATTTGTTATTGTATTTAATCACAAATATTTTTATTCATTTTTTTGCATTTGCTTATTACAACCAATCTCTCCAACAAACACCACCCAACAACAACTGTACGCACATGCGCAATACACAATCCGGTCTCATACAACCCTGTGGTGTGTCATGAATGCAATTCATTGCCGTTTCTGTTTTGTCTTCATTCGGTGTTTGACGTGAGCGCACGAGTTGTTGCAATTTTCATAAAATAGCGGAAGATTCGGTTCTTTCATAAAACCATTATTGTACAAAAGTGTAAATTTCTGGTGACTAAAGAATTTAAACTATTACTAATTAATATTAACGGATATTATTGTTTAAGTAAAAATTAATATACAAACTTGTGTTAGTAACTTTGAAGAAGTGACAAAGTGAGATATATTCTCAGTAACTTCTCCAAATATTCTTGTAAGAAGCGCGTGTAGCTCACTGTCGTAAGGTGTATGTATGTATGTATATGAGCGTGTTTATGTGCATCAAGAAAGAAAGAAAGAAGGGAGATAAACAAAAAAGTGCATTTTATATGATAAGCAATTAAATAAATACATGCAAGTATAAAAACAAAACATAAGAACACGTGCTTTTATAAAGCAGACCACAACAAAAGAGCAAGTGGAGCCTGGAGCCGCTAAGAAATTGTATTTTCGTGGAGAAAGTGCGAAGACTACACGAAATATATTAATTAATATTATCTATTTATCTGATTGGAGTAATTTAGGGCGTTTAAAACAAAACAAGTGAAAATGGTGCAGGTGAGTAAATTAAGATCAGAAATAATTTCTGAATGAATAATGCAATCGAGCAGAAAAACTTGGGAGTTCATAGAATTGATTTTGAAATTGTGTTGAAATTCGGGAAACCATAATTATTTTCCTCTTTTATCTTGGGCTTTGACTGTGTTAACATATTTTCGTTTCAAATATTAATATTTTATTAGAAGTGAAGTTTTAATCGTAAATTAAAATGCTAATAAAATTTATTTGAACGAAATATGTATTTCTCTTAATACGCTGTCTTAAAAAAGTTCCGTTATTATTGCTGACATTTCAAGCTGCCAGTTGCAAGTTCAATTCAAATTTAGTGGCAATTTCCCCAGGTTCTCTTTGTGAAAATTATTTGTAGTTGTATAAAATTTTGGAAAAAAACAAAGAAACCACATTTGAAGAAAAAATATTAAAAACCATTTTCAATTATTCACAGCATTTTGCAAAAAAATCGCTGGGGCAGCGATCAGGAAGCTTCCGAAAAACCGAAAAGTCTTGAGAATGCTTTTATCGGCAGAGAAATTAATTAAAAATAATATACATGAGCAATATAAGCCAAGAAACTTTGTGCAGGACGCTCAGAGCTGCTGGTTATAAAAAATCAAATCGACGTACCTATACATATATGCCGCTTCTAAGTGAAAAATCTTTCGTAAATTCATGATACCGAGCTTAAGTCCATGCTTAACATGTTTGGTCCTGATTATACGGACTATAACTTACGAATAATGGATAAACACATTATGTTTGGTTAAGCACGCTGATAGCAAAATAATACAGAGGCGCTGTGTATGGATAAGTGATAAGTTTTGTACACATTTAAACTATCGTTTAAAAAATCTACCACCGGCAAAACATCTAAATAGTTATTAAAGGGTACTTTAAAGCCATTATAAGCACACAGTATACAATGCGATACTTTGGTGTTAATACAATTCACCTCAGCCCGCTAATTTTAATCCGATTTAGTTTGTAGATTTAGTTGGTAGATTTTGATCGTGCTTCGGCTTCCAAGAAGCAGTTCTCAAAGAGTGGGCAAAAATATGTAACTGCGGAGGGTACAAAAGGTTCATACTTTCAATGCCAAGTAGATTAAGAGATATTATTAATATAAAAAAACACTCAAAGAAATTATTTTAAGTAATTTTTAGTTTACTTTACTCAAGTTGGTACCGGTTTAGCACTACCATTACTTTTTTTGTGCTAAAAAAAATGAAACAAAACTCCACGCCGAATAATGTCATACAAAAAATTTCGGACCAAACAAAAAAAGATTTAAAAATAGAAATTTGTCAAAAATCAGAATTATGTTTCCATACATAACGCTTTAATACTCCGCCTGCCCACAACTCTCAAACCAAAGCAGATTATTTGCTATTTACGCACTTTTGTCGAGTAAAAAGGGGGAAAAATGCATATTATGCAACATATTCGCTATATTGCAGACATATTGTACTTTTCGCCCTACAACCAGACAAACATACCAGTTGTTCATTGAAAGTTTTATTAGCCGATAGCGTCCACTTTACACTGGCGAAGTGCCGGAACACTTGCATTCAACCCCCTACCCTTGGCTAATTTGTACCCAACACATTGTATATATGTAAATGTTGTAGTAGCCTATCAATTTTCATATTTCAAAAATGCATTTAACTTAAATTATAAATTTTTTTTTCGTCGAGTTTTCACTATTTCCACAGCGCTTTTACTTCGAGTAAAGGAAAATTTTTATGTATTTATTTCCGCGTGTCCCAAGCGAGAATTTCTTATTTGCATATATCACTGTTTATACATACATACATATACACTTTCATAAAAATTTGTATGTCTGTGTAAATCCAGTTATGCGTCATATTTGCCTGAGGGTTGCAACCCTCTTTTATTGAGGCCCACACATTCATGTTAACTTTAAAAATCCTAAAGCTGCTGTTGCAACTATCCCATATCGGAATATTGATGGCATGACCACCACTAACTGCAAACTCACCAAACATCTTCTAGCTTTTCGAACGCATTGCGTGAAAGTAAAAACTCGTTCGTGGCACATACATTTAGGCTTGTATTTATTTCATTTCTAATTTTATTTTTTCATCCTCTGTGTTCGCGTGTGTGTGTGTGTGTATATATAACAAAAGCACGCACTTTCCACGATTACTGTTTCGCTAGTATAATTTTTTATTTTGATTTTTTTTTATTCGAAAAGTTCTTGATTTTCTAAAGCTGCTCATTTGAATCATTTCCCTATCGTATTGTAACAGAAGGTTTTAGATGTGCGACCTATACAATTAGATTTGTTTAGCGAATGGAGCTGCCAGAGAGCTGTCATTTCCTTAAAAATCCCCTACTCTTCCTTGCAATATAGAAAAAAAAAAATGTTTCTGGTACCACGTTGCATTAGGTGGCATTGAATTTTTGTATTAATTCCTCAAAGATTTAAAATTTTTTTTTTATAAAATATCCAACCTCTAAAATGGCTTCTTCAACTTTTTTTTTTGCATAAATTCAATAAATATTCATTGAAAAATATGCAATTTACATCAACGTTTTTAACGCATACGCCTAATTGTAGGCAACGTTTTATTATGTGCCAACCATGTGACATTATCAAATAATTGCCTACATTTAGGCTGCTATTATACAAAACTTGTCTAGTATGATTTATTTTACTAGTTTTTGAGACCTTTTTATAATAAAATAGTCAATTAAAATGCAAAGAATTTTATTATTGATTTTTTTTACATTTATTTTAATTAAAAATAATAATAACACACAAATCGCCCTCATTCGATACTTAGCAATTATAGTAATAATTAGGGTATGCCCAATGTAGAAATCTACTTTTAAATTTTTAACTTTTTCGAAGATTGTTGTTATGTTGCATTCATTTAAGATGATTTCAAATATTTTTATTTTTTGAATTAATATAATTTTTCGTTTTGATAAAAACAGTTGTGAAATAAATTTTATTAAAAAAATAAAATATTAAAGTTTTAATAAAAATAAATTTGTACATATTCATATTCATATTCATATTATATTAATTAATACATACATACTCGTATGTATATCTATACCCAAAAAGATAAGAAAGATGGTTAAGATACTCGTAGGAGCATAATGATTCTGATAAAGAGCTTGCGGTCAGCTCTTCAACCACCCTCTTTAAAAAATATGCTTTTACGGTGTAAACTCGGAGAGTGTAGTCTTTAAGACACTTTAAAGGTCAGTTATGCAATTTTTTTCTGGTTGTTAAATTATTTTTAAAAATTGTTTGTGAAACATGGCAAATAATTTAGCTTAAAGATATTTTTTTACATTTACAATTTCACTGGGATTAATGTTTTAATACTTGCCAAGCAAACCTGGTCAAAATACTGGGTAACAGCATAGGACAACAATAATCCATACATTACCGAATTAGAGCCAGCTGTATGGAATCCAGACTATGAATTGTATTGTGATAAATTGGAATTTGTATAAAAGCAATTCTTACTGTTCGTGATCGATCGCGGATTCAGGGCAGTCCAGTCCAGTCACTGGATTTTAGTTCTGGCCCGACCTACATCCAAAATTATAGAAAATCCAAAATGCGATCCGCATTCGGCTGGGAATGTCTCGCCCTTTAATTGCGTTTCTGGCATGAAATAAAAGCTTCTCATAAAAATTTGTTAGATGCTTTCGAAGTAGCTTAGAATTAAGTCTAGGGCTCTACATTTGTTGGCGAAAACATCAAGACGCACTTTATAAATAGAAGGAGGAAGAACACTTCAACAGTTATGGAAAGCCAATTACATAAGTAATGCTTGTATACATATATACATATAATTTTTCAAAAAATAATTTAATATTTTCAATATTTAAATAAATCTGTCTGAAGTTTCCGATTTTAGTCTCTTTCCTATCTTTTCTCTTCAAATTCGAAAATACAACGTTGAGCTAAGGCAGTGTCAAGGTCTCTTTCTACTAGGGAATAGATAATATTTTATATAATTTCTTCCAATGTTTGCAAGCATGAAATGTCGAAAAAATGTTTCAATTCTGCTAACTCTGTATAGCTTTTATCGACTTACTACTTTGCTTTCTTCCAAACTGGAAAGCTGGAAAGAGCACCGACCACTTTAAGGTCCTTACCACCTTTAAATTGGTAACCATTAGCATATACTGCACTGGATAGTACGTTCCGAAGGAGTTCAGAACTGAATTGCGGGCGGGCTAGTCGAGAACTTCAATATATTTTGCTCTAAAAAAAACGATTTATCCTAAGAGCATTTGTATGGTTCCATTAGAACAAATTTCGCTAATCTAGTTAAAAGCTTTAGATGTTGTTGTTGTAGTGGCTCGCTAACCCCGCTCAAATAGATCAGTCTAAGTCATCGAGGTCATCTAATGGTAAGTTCAGGAAACAAGCTGTTTCGACCTGTTAAAGAAGTTCGTTTTAGAGGCATACAAAAATTTGGTGGTTTGACTCCCAGAGCGCTATTCATTAAAAGAGAGTTCAGAAAAGTGTTGGTGGACTCGCGGTAGATGGCATTTAAAGCCTGTCGCCAAGCCGAGTACCAGTACTCCCATTCCGTTGTGCCTGGGCGGTGTTTCGTCAGTAGGTTTATTGCCACGCTCCTAGGGGAGGTGTTTTGGTAGACTTGCAGGCTTCTTCATCTGCGGCTCGCTAGTCCCCGGCGCCCATATCGGGGAAGCAGTTTTCGACCGGCCAGCCTATTGCTTTGTAAATTACCAGCAACGTTTCTTTGTCTTTTCCTCGACTTTCACATCGAGTTCGAGTACGAAGGAGTGTCCAGCTGGTGAAGAGGGTAGCTGAAAATTTCGCTGGTTGCAACTGTAATTGTCTTGAAGTGAAGAAGTGGGAAAGATCGTCCTGGACAGACGCCAATATCGGTATATGAGAACAATGGAACCCCTTCCGGTGGAGGAGGGAGTTTCGAGACACAAAAATTAAACGACACTGGCGACAGGACACCACCCTACGGAATGCCTCACTTTATCTAAAAGTTTTTAGTTCTTTTTCCTCAGGTCACAATAATTTTCCTTGTGACGTAAATTGGGATGAAGGAAGATTTTTCTTGCTTAATTTTTGTCCTTAAAAATAAAAATTTTATTCAAAAGTGGAACTCACCGTTAATTAGTTATTGACTAGTAAGAAATATAATTTTTTTCCTTTTTTTTGAATTTCGCAAAATTTTTTTCTGCCACGTGGCAATCTCATTTACACGCACCAGTTGCTATATCTCGTTTCTTTCGCCATCGAAGCATTGATATTTGATGTAATTTCTGCCGTTTTGTATTTCTTGAGCATTTGCGTGCATCCACACAGGATACAGATCCATATGTAGATACATATATATGTATATGCGTGCATATTGTACATAAAAGTGTGCGTTTATTCCCTTGCTTGCGATATCTTCCTGTGCGTGCATTTTTCCAATTGCGTAAATTTCTACTTGCAACTCACCCACCTACCAAACCCACACCCGGCCTCCCCCCGGCTGCATGCGTCACTGCAGAGCTTGCACATCCTCTTGCTTGCCGTGTGTGTGTCTTGTTTATGTCCATATGTTTTTCTAAACAATTTTTCCTTGCCATGAAATGCTCTCTATAAAGGCACTCACGCACGTACGCACGCACGCAATCGCCGCACAAATTCGCACACACGCACACGCGTATAAATTTCCAATTGGATACCATTATGCATCGTTGACCTACCACCATGAGCAGCAAAGCGACTCGCATATAACGGTAATGGCACTGGCAAAAGCAATAGGAGGAATAGCAAGAGCAACAACAGAGCAGCAGCAACAGCTAAATAGATGGCAAGCTCAAGTCAACCAGACATTCTGGGA